GCTGCCGCCCGTGCTGCTGGCGCTGCTGCTGGCGCGGCCCGCGGCGGCCCTGGTGGAGGGGCTCTACTGCGGCACGCGGGACTGCTACGAGGTGCTGGGCGTGAGCCGCGCGGCGGGCAAGGCGGAGATCGCGCGGGCCTACCGCCAGCTGGCGCGGCGCTACCACCCCGACCGCTACCGGCCCGAGCCCGGCGACGAGGGCCCCGGCCGGACGCCGCAGAGCGCCGAGGAGGCCTTCCTGCTGGTGGCGACCGCCTACGAGACCCTCAAGGTGAGGCCCGGGGGCGCGGATGGGCTGAAGGACCCACCGGGGCAGCGCGCGGCCCGGGGAGCGAGGTTCTCTGTGACCCCGGCGCCGGGTGAGGCCACCGCCGCGACCCGTAAGACGCTCCCACTTTCCCACGTAGCCTTGGGAAAGAGCCCACACGGCCCCTTGACAAACATGGGGACTTGCCGGGGCCGTGGGGGGACAGCCAGCCCCTTCCTTTTTGTGACAGTCTTTGTTATGCAAGGCTGTGGGCACCTGACGATCTAGTGAAAGCATTTTAATTTCTCACACTCGGAAAGCAGGGTGATTATTACTACCGAGATCTGTGATGGAACACACGAAAGGTCTCCAATGTTGAGTGACTGTGTGATCGTGTCAAGTTGGCATGACAGAAACTTGGTTTCTGGGGATAGTATTGTGACATTTAGCTCGAGTGTAAGGATCTAGAAAAATACTAAGAACAATGAACAACCAGTCAGAAGACCGGATGTTTGACTGTTGGCTCTGACACCCCTGTATGACCTTGGATAGTGACTTAGGATGTCGGAGTAGCTGTTTCTTCATATGCGAAATTGAGACCATCCTCACGGGGTTATTATGAGGATTAAGTGAAAAGTGTGAGAAACGCCTATATAGGACTTGTCAGTAGGTGCTTAATGACTTGGGGTTCAAGACTGAGAATTTCTAGTAGACAGTACTTTGTGAATATGTGTGTAGTCACTTGTCAGAGGTTTTATTGAGCCCTGTGGGGAGATTTAACCTGATCCTGTTATCTTCTCCTACTGCAAAAATCAAACCATAAAGAAATCCCAACGTATAAATCATATTCGATGGAAGTGTTACAGCTTCAAGGAGCCCATCATGCTAATGTAACAGCAATTGTAGTTTTAAGGTTTTTCTTTCTAGCCATTTTATTTTTGAGGTAATATAGCAATAGTCTGCTTTTGATGACTACTTTGAGTGAGTATACTATAATTTAACCATGGATTATTTTTCCAGATTAACTTGCCAGAGCTGAAAACACTGAGTCAGGGAGTTAAAGGCTTTTCATTCATGCTTTCCAGAGGAGTTTGGATAATATGGAGTCATAAAATGAGCGTGCCTAAATTTTCGCTAGCGTTGGTGACATTGTAATTTTTATTGGCAGTTAACTGAGGAGTGGGTAGAGGGCTGGGAAGTTGCTGAGGCCAGAGGGTTTGGTTGCTTATTATTTAGGATAAAGAGTGATTGAGGAAAGACTTCAGGAAAATGGGAAAGAACTTTTCCATCCAGGGCAGCCCAGCATCTGAAGCCTCAATCTGTGTTTTTCTGCAGTGAGGAAAGATAGTCGTCCAGACAAGCAGCCAGAAGGCCTGGCTCATAAGGAAGCGCTGGGCAGAGGGAGGACTTCCAGAAGAGAGGGCAGCAGTAGCACTGGCAACTCTTGCCTTCTGCTGGGTTTGGAGATGGGTAGGTTTGGCGTGAGAATGGTGAGCATGTTAGTAAAACAAGTGCCAAGAAAGAGAGACAGCAGAGAAATCCTTGCTGGAAGGAACCCCAGGACAAAATATTCTTGCCTTTTCTTAAAGAGGTAAATTCAGAGGCTGATGTGGTGGATCCATAATGGTTGCCTCTAAGGGTTTCTACCCCTAAAGTTTAGCACTGATTTGTCAGCCAATAAAAAGCTCAGTAAAATAATTTGTCCCCTCAAGAACAAGGAACTTGTGGGCAGTTAAAAATGAGTACGTCTGGAGAAAGTAACACCTTTACTCTTGATTCCGACAGGAGGTGTGTGGTAGCTACAGATGGCTCCAAACAGGAAAGGAGACTTGGAGTTGCACTGATGAGGAGGGAGTGTTCTGTGGCTGCCCCAGCCCCACTCAGTATTACTGCAAGAGGATGGAAAGTATCTGTGAGAGAACAGGGATGGCTGGGGATAGTCTGGTCCCATGAAAATCAGACCTCGCTGAGCTCTATGAAAACTCCCATTTTAAATTTATAGAGATGGACATGGATTCCACTTCCAAGTGGAACACCTCCAGAAACTTTTTTTTAAAAAAACTTCATTGCAGGTGCCCTCTCCTGGAATAAGGAAACGGACTTTCACTGGCAGTGTGTGGAAGAAGTTATTAAAAACGAACAGGGTAGTCTGATTTTATTTCTGACATAATGGAAAATTGTGAGAAAGTTGCCAGAGAATATCATTTCTGGGTGATGCAAAGATCTAATGACTTGGGGTCATCCAATGTGGACAGCCTCAGCTTTCCAAATTATCCCCTTGAGGCAGTGGGGATTGAATTTTGGTTGGATTATAAGCACAGGCTGGAAAGAGGGCTTGTGAGGGATGAGCGGTCCATGTGGCTTTTGCTAAGAGCAGGTCAGATAGAATAGTGGGTGAAGTTGATGAGTTCCAGTGGCTCTGGAATAAAGACCAGATGCATAAGCCTATCTAGAATTCCACATATATCTCATGGAGGCAGGAGTGTAAACCTGGGACCACATTTCATTTCTGTTTGCTGCTTTTGTTAAACGCTATGTCTTTGTTCATAAAGAATAATAGTAAACCCTGTGAGAGTAATGCTTATCTATGGAGCCAGCCAAAAAGGAGGGAGGGAGTTGGAAAGACCATGTCCTCCTTCACAGTCATGTTCAGTTATTGCTGGCATATGGAGGAAAAAGTTGATTTTATACTTGCTTTGTAGAATGCACAGGTAGATTCCATCTCTGGAACAGTGTATCTAACAGAAATTGTTTCTTTCTTTTTCTTTTTCTTTTTATTTATTTTTTCCCCTAAAGCCCCAGTAGATAGTTGTATGTCATAGTTGCACATCCTTCTAGTTGCTGTATGCGGGACGCGGCCTCAGCATGGCCGGAGAAGCGGTGTGTCGGTGTGCGCCCGGGATCCAAACCCGGGCCGCCAGCAGCAGAGCGCGCACTTAACTGCTAAGTCAGGGGGCTGGCCCTGTTTCTTTCTTGAAATCTGAAATAATTTAGTTGTAAATTCATTGGAGCCAGGAGGCTTTTTTCTTCCCCCATAATTTTTCATAACCTTAATTTCTCTTATTATTGGTCTGTTCAACTCTCTTAATATTTTTAACATATGATATAAGAAGCTATATTTTATCCTCATTATAACTTTACAGTGGTGTTCCACCAAAACATCTAATAGCCAAGGATCTCTGAATGTTGATAACAAATACATTATCAAGATGGGAACTACATTTGTATAAGACATAGTGGATTTATGACTCTGAGGTTGTCTTGGTCAATGCCTCTTTGAGAGAGAGATTTTTTTAGATGGTGATGGTTAAGCTATAAGTACACTACTGTGATTTAAATATAGTTGGTAAGACAAGGAGCTATTATCCCACTTGGTAATTGTCATTTTAGCAACAAAGATTGTACCTGTGCATAGAGAGACTAAGGAAAACCAGACAAAGAAGGATGGATAATAATGGAAGACAAAGGCACCAACTGGTCAGATGCTTTCACCAAGTCAGGCTTAGTTCATATTCTCAAATAACTTAAAATTCCAGATCTCATCAGGACTCGAACCATTATGATTTCACACACTGCTTTATGTTTGCTTCATAGTGTAAGTTAAGACAGTGAAATCGTATTTAGTGTATCTGACTACTGGGGAATCGGGATTCACGGACTTTGGAAGTTAAGTAAACGGACTCTCACTGGCTGTGTCAACACTGGATCTTTTTATGTGGATATAGCACTTATCACACTGCACTGTAAATACTGAGTGGCCCTTCTCCCCTCTCCACTAAACCATGCTCCTCGTTTTTTGTATATATATCCATGGCACCTAGCACAATGTCTGGCACATCACATAATGAATGTTTGTTAAAGAAAAACTTGTATCTGGAGATAGATTCAGATAGAATGGAAGTCAAAAGTGGATTTCTGGCGTTGATATTGTTATGTGAAGCCTACTTTGGCATTTTACCCCAAATTAATTGTAGTTTTAAAGAGTGGTACAGATAAAGTAGATTGGATGGGTATGAATGAAAAATTCCTGCATGAGACAAAAATTTCACTTCTGTTTTTAAGAAGAAATTATGTTCTGAGGGTTTTTAAGTGAGAACATAAATCATTTTTGAATATAGAATAGAATTGAATGAAATAGTTGAAGTAAGAAGGATGACATAGAAATAAGCAGATGAAGGAATAGGTGGAAAGGATGCACTTAGAAAAACTATGATTGGTAGAAAATGGGAAAATAGTCAAATTTGACAGCATTTTGCAAGATCACAAGAGAAGAACACAGAAAAAGTCTTGGAAGTATCACTGGCAGGAAGGTTGTCTGATAAGTTGAGGGATGTGTCCAGAGAGCCATCTACTGCTCTAGCCTGGTCTGGGCAGGGCAGTCACAAGAACACTTCAGTTTCTTTGTACCAGTCTGATTCATGTGGCAGGGCTTGGGCACTTAGAAAGAATTTGGCACAAAGGGGGATTCTGAACTCCCTGCCCTGTAATGTTACCGTGTATTGTTCGTACTCAGTATATTCTCTTACTCAACCCTCTCTCTGAGCAGAACTGATGCCGGTGCTGGGGGAGGACACCGTAACAGTGAAAAAGGCACAGTTCCTGCCTTTAAGCTTTTAAGACAAATACTTATTGTTTCGTTATTATTTCTTTAAGTTATATAATAAAAATGTGTAGATTATATTGCAGCACTGAGAGGACACAATTATTCCTTCTTGGGGGATTTGAGAAGAATGTACTCTTTGATCTGGATCTAGAACAGTCACCAAGGCTGACGGTGAAGGGACATTTCTGGTAGAGGGAAAACTTGATTAACAGAAACGTGGAGTCATGAGTGTGCAAGGCTTGTTCCAGGAATGAGATGTCATTTGCTGAAGTATTATAGTAGGGAGTATTTTTCTCCACAAAGATCACTTTTATTGTATTTCTCCCAGGAACTCTAACTGCACTTGTTAGTATTACTATTTTTCTTTTGCAGCATTGATCCATATTTTACTTGGTTCATAATAATTGGTATTCATAAAAATAGTAGAAATGATCTAAATTTCTATTATATATAGAAATATATATATTATTATTATATATAGTTGTGATGCTGATAGACAGCCAAATTAAGTAAACTTGATGGCAGATAGTTTTCATTTCATATGCCACCTCTGGTCACGACTCCCTGGAACATTTGTAAAGGTTTGGAGGCCTTTTCTGGGTTTAGTGGGAAAGATGGCATGTTCAATAGTGATTTCTCCCATGGGCCCTGAAGAAGGGTGTAGAATCTTATGTGCCACATTTTCTATTTCTGCTGTAAACCCATATGTGGTATTTATTTTTTACTGATCCCTTAATTTCAGCTGTTATTCCCTCCTTATGGCCAAGGTTGATTATACACCAGATGTGTTTAATTCTAGTGCTGTGACTAGCTGACCTAATTTGTTATCAACAACCAATCAGAGCTTTTGATTAACACAAAAACTGAGTTGATATAATTCTAGCCAGAAACGAAGCACTTGACATTTTAATTTAGCTGCTGCAGATTTATCATGAGTAACTGGAACATTTTGAGACGCTCAAAGCACCAAGACCCATATTGCATTTTTCATAGACTTTAGGGTATCTACTACTTCTAGGAGAGAAGCCTGTCAGGTGCATGGTAGGGTGAATGTTTCAGGAGACTGGAACATAGTTTGGGATCAGATGATGAACAACACTTTAAGCTGTGTTCAGAAATCTGAACTTTATGTATTGAATAGTTACCAGAGGTTTTAAAGTGGAGAAATAACACAATCTGATGTTTGTTTCAGAAGGAAAATTCTGGCGACAATATTGAGGATGGGTTGGGGAAGCCAGGAAGATATTCTTGACTGAATTTGTTTTATTTCCACTGTCGTCTTCTGGAATCTCATCATTCCTCTTTGGTAACTTGAGAATCTCTCAGTTGGTTCATTTCTCATTCCTTTCCCTTAATTGTGCTTCTTTTAAAGCTACGGTCCCATTTTTCTTCTTTCTTCAGTGTTGGCTCTCTTTACGTCTTCATCTCCCTTTCATCCAAGCTATCGTAGACTGACGTGCATCAGCACACACGCTGGAACTGTTCTCCTTAAGGTGAACAGGGACGCTCTAAGCGTCAGATCTGAGGGCTGCTCTTCATCTTCCTCCTGGAACTTTGTGGCATTTGATGGTGTTGACCATGTGGTTCTTTAAGCTCTTCTCCCTTCAGGTAATTCTCTCCCATTTCTCCTGTCTTTCTACCATTTCTTTTCAGTCTTGTTTTCCTCTGCCTACACCTTAAACATTGCTTTTCTGTAGAGTTCTGTCCTTTGGGTACTCTTTTCTTTTTATTTTCTAAGCTCTTCCTGATGAAACTCAGCTACATCCTTGACAACTCTAAAATCTGTGTGTTCTCTAGGTTCATAGTTTCAATTGTCTCTCATCTGTAGCATGGGTGCCCAAATTAAACATGTCTGAAATCAATCTTGTTATCTTTGTTAAAGCATAAATTTTAAAAGAAGATAAAATCATGACTCTAATACCAATACAAAAAGAACATGTGTCAGAGGTTTTATGTAATTCATTAATTAATGAGGGAACCAATAAAATATTAAGACTGGTTCAAAAGAGAAAAAATGCCACACATTTATAGTCAGACAAGGAACGCTGAAATGCCTGTAAAACTGGCCAATATGACAAGGGAATAATCATTGCATTCCACTCGACACAATTTGTCTTTCTGTGAACAAGAATTATTTGCATTACTTGCAGTTTTCTGCAAGTTACTTCTGTCTCTACGAAGTTAACATAGACTTTCCAAAGACAGACAAAGGTGCACCCCCTTCTACAGGAATAGATAATCCCTGGAGGCTCCAGGGATAGAAAAGATATCCAGTAATTTTTTTTCCCCTGTTTCAGAATCTTCCACAATTTCCCCCTGCATCTTCTCCGAACTTGCTGTCTTCTTCCTCTATTCTTTATCTTAGAGTAACATGGTCCACACAGTAACTATAATTAGAAACTTCACTAATCATGTTTAACATGATTGATTCTTATACTCCTTTAATCACTAAGTTTTATTTATTCTACTTCTTAGTCTCTAAAATCTGTTTCTCCCTCATTCCATTCTTTACAGTACTATCCAAGTTGTCTTTGAAAAATATATACTTCTACTCAATGCTATTGTTCTCATACTTTAAAACATTTCATTTTTGAATAGCACAGACAATAACACCCTAACACTTTAGCTTGGCCTATAAGATCCTCTACCTTTCTTATCCAAACCTATCTTCCTGGCCACATTTACTGCTCCTTTCTTCCTAAATTTCCCCAGTGCTCAAGCTTCACTGAATCCTCTATATTCATTGATGCTTCTGTACCTTAACATTTGCTGTTCCCTTTGCCTGGAACACGTTTTACATCTTACTTGCTTTTCAAAATCCAGCACTCATTTCATCCCTTCTGTGAATCCCCTTACCAGTGGTCTCAGGCAGAGTTAGTCAGTCCCTTATTCCTTAGCACATCAAATTGTGCTTTTCTTCTTGCTAGATTCTTCTTCTAGATCAGAGAGTTCTTGAGGCCAGGACCTTATTTGTCTTTTTATCCTCCTTTGTGTTCAACACAAGGCTTAATGCCCTGCATAATTATTTGCTGAATCAAAAATAACTAAGGTTTTTAAAAGCTCAGGTAACCAAGTAGATGGTGATACTGCAATATTAACTGAAACACAGAGGAACAGATTGGGTTTTGAGCATGCTGAATTTGAGATATTATGTTACATTTAGGAAATGTTCAGGAGGTATTTGAAAATAGGAGGATGCAGGAAAAGCAGATCTGAGTGTCCCTAATATATAGGTGATACTGCACATCACATGAGTTGTTGAGACCACATGTAGACTGAGAAGAGAAGACATAGGAGAAGACAGTTGCAATAGTGACTGGGGGACAGGGAACAAGAGAAGAAATGACACTGATAGCAGTTAATTTTCTTCCTCTTCAGTAGGAATGTAATGGCCTGGAAAAAACTTTAGGGGAACAGATACTATTTTTTTAAAGGATCATTTGTATGTGTGTATTTCTTTTAAAAATTGGGTTAATATATATTTCTAAGAATGAACAAAATACATGTTTTCATATATTATTGATTCCTGGCCTTTAGCATCCTAAAATGGTTTCTACTATCTGTGTAATAGAAAAATTTTAATGTAAAACTGGCTGCAATATCAAATTATTGCAATTTATGTTTATTGAGATCAAACAATTCATTATTTCTTTCAAGGGCAAGAATGTAATATATTTTTGCCTCTGGGGAGGGGGGAATGATTATTTTCATAAGAGAAGGAAGGATTCAGTGCTTTCTTTGCTTGCGGGTTTCCTCTTGTTCACTTTTGATCTAGATATTGGTGGTTATGTTCCAGTCCTCCTGCATATGCCCAAGAGGATTGGGATGGAGTGGACACCAGCAGAAGCACCATTTTTTCCTGTAGAGATTAGAAACAAGGAGCTTATTGCCCTGCTTGTCAAGGCTCAGGACAGAGAGGAGGAAGAAACAAGTATAAAGGTTTTGGTTTTGGAAAGAAGTTGGAATCTCCTGACCCTGGGACCTTAAGATCCACAAAATTGCTGAAAGAAAAAGTACTACCTTATTGAAAGGTAAGATATTAAACTGTTTTAAGGTTTAAGCTATTTTAGCCAAAGTAGCATAGTTTCATAAGCTATGAAATCAAGCAGTCATTTCTGCTAAGCCTAAGTTTTTGTGACAAAATCACCCAGCCAGCCTTCTTGGTGAGGTGGAGAGCTGTGTGGCTGGAGAGGTGTCATAGTAAGGGAGAGCCTTCACAAAATTCCACTCATTTTTATGCTTTTTTTTTTTTTTTGGTGAGGAAGATTCTCCCTGAGCTAACATCTGTGCCAATCTTCCTCTTTTCTAAATGGGACACTGCCATAGCATGGCTTGACGAGCGGTGTGTAAATCCACACCCAGGATCCGAACCCGCAAACCCCAGGCCGCCAAAGCAGAGCGCGTGAACATAACCACTATGCCACTGGGCTGGCCCCTCTACTCATTTTTAAAATGACATTTACTGAATGCCAGGCACTGTGCTAGGCCTTGGATATACAGAGATTAATGAGTCACCCTACCTTATCTTCTAGAATTCTCATTCAAGGAAAAGAAAAAAACTGATGATGACAATGTGATAAGTGCTATAATAAATAGGAAATATGTGCAATAAGCGTGGTCCATCTCTGTCTGAGGCAGTAACTTTTGTGTCTTATAGGATTAATAGGAGCTCATGAGGCTGGAAGTAAGGGATGGGCATTTGAGTTAGAGGGAACTATATCTTTAAAAACATAGGTATGAACGAGCATCCTGTACTGGAAGAACACACCAAATTCCAGAAATTACTATCTGAATGTTTGCTGTGGGCAAAAGAGGGGAGAGGGATGAGATGTTGCTAAGTAAGATCAGGCCAGTTATGGAGGCCTTGTTGCATGCCAAGGAAATTTTAACTTACCTTATTAATCACAGGGAAGCATTAGAGATAAAAACCAAAAAATTGTGGGACTACTTTAGTTCCAAGATGGGTAGGAGAAAAAATAAATATATGGTGTTAAAATAAGAATGCACCTGTAGCTCTCTAACTGGGTCGCAGTCTCTGTCTTTTCTTTTTGCTAATATTCCTGGTATCCTTGTGTTCTCACTAGGTTGATTCTAAACTTTGTAGGTTACTAAAAAGTAGGATTTTGACTTAGATCATTGAGAACTAACTCTCCAATTTGTGCCAACCTTGAATACTTTCTAAAGTGTGTTGTGCGTACCTCAGCCTAAAATCATTTTCTTCATTCTGGAGAGAAAGCTATACACCAAAGAGTAAAGATTCTGGCTAATTAAATGCTATTAACGAGGAAGTGGCCAACCTTCTTGTCTCTAATCATGACCAAAATAACGTTATAAATTTTTAGTGACCTCCAGGAAAAGAAAACCATCCTAAGAGAAGTCAGACTTGACCCTGAAACCTTTTGCAAGAATTAGGTAGTTCGAGGACTCATTAGAGGACCCTGAATAAACCCCACAGGCTCTGGTTGCAGTAGAGGGGCCAGATACAACGAATAGATTTTATAGTTGCAGGTTGCTGGAGCATTAGTTGACCATCCTGCTAGAGGAGCTCAGGACTTGATGAAGTCACAAATCTAGGGACTGGTAAGAAGATAGTGACCCTGGGGGAAGATGTGGGTGAAATGCTTAGAGAGGGATATCTGCGTTCTATGGACTGTGACCCTCACTAAAATAAGAGAACAAAGAAGATAGCCACTGGACACATGACATTCACAAAGCAGATTTCAGTGACACTCAGAGATCTTGCTGTGTCTTTAACCAGGAGGAGCACAGACAGTTAGACTGGGCGCAGGGCTCTGTGTAGATGGTGATGCTGGAGGACTGTAGGAATCTGATCTCTGTGTGGCAGTTAGTTTCAAAACTACATGTAATCTAGTTGGAACAAGGAGAAGAGTCCTGTTTGAAGAAATACATTTCAAAAAGCATCTACCAAGATTGGGAGGCTAAGTTAAAAGTCAAGGATTTCAGGCCCAAAGCGGAGCATTTCTATAAAATTAGCCCAGAAAGCAACAAATGGAGGGAGAATGGGAACATTCTCAAAGGATGTCTTGAAGTACTCAAAATGAGATACATCAGGAGATGTGGGCTTTAGTCTTCAGAGCTATCTGTATGACCTGTAAAGTTTTACCCTTTCTGTTAGAAGCTCTAGAATATGATGATGGCTTAGAAGGAATAATGGATTGACAGTTGTGGCGTGTGGCCATTGCCACAAGAAAATCTTTTTTTTTTACAGAAATGAACATACAAGGATTGAATTTGAAAATAATATCAGCCTGAGGTCAGTTCTCCTTATGTAACTGACAGTTCTCATAGTGGCCTTCTATCTAGTGCCATGGAATAGACTTTAAATATATGTCTAATTATACTAGATACTAGTTTATCTAGTTTCTAATTCTAATCAGAGTTAAAAATATTTTGAATGTAATGAATGTAAGAGAATTGTCACTGAGAATGCACTGACTCAAATTCAGAATTCTTAATAGAAAATATATAATGATTTTAATGAGTACAGGGGAGATTTTGTCATTAGCAAACTTCTTATTTAAATCTAATAAACTGCATATTGGAGGACTCAGGAGGAGGCCCTGAACGGACCCCAGAGCCTCTGTCTCTGGTAGTAAAGCACTAGGTGTAGATTTTGAAATGTCTTCAGCTAAGAATCTGCAATTTTATGAATGTTGAATAATTGATCCTAGAAAGAAATGCTCTAGGTTAAAAAAGATTTTTGTTTTCATAATGGTTTCTGTTGTGCTCACAGAGAGTAAAGAATTTGTTGTAGTTTTAGTCTTTAACATTTTTTGGACACAGGACAAAATAGGTTTCCTGTGCAATAAGAAGCAAATCATAACCTAGTTTAATAGCTCTTCAATCTACGTAGCTGAATAAAAGACTGGCATTTATCCCTGTTAGAAACTGATTAAAATTAGAGAAGGTTTTAAGAAATGTTTTATCTGTGAACACAGAGAGCAGCATTGCAGAATGCTATAATTTTTTCAACATGTCTGTATGATTAAGAAAGATCTATGTTATCTTATTTATGAACTGGGCTGTGACGATGTGTTATAATAGTAAAGTACTATGTATTTTTAACATGTTTTTGTATAATGTATGTCATTTGATATTCAAAACAACCCTGTAAAATTAGTAGGGTAGGTATTTTGTCCATTTTACAAATGAAGAAGAGTAAGTCTCAGAGAGGCTAAAAATGTCTCCCAAAGTCACAAAGCTAGACTTGGACCATTATACCACATTGATGTTTCTTTGAGATGAGCATAATTCAGTTTTGTAGGCACAGATGGGCTTCGTCTGCTTTTTGTTTTCTTAATTATTGTTCTCAATAGAAAACTTTCTACACAAAGCTGGAGAATGATTGTGAATATATACAATGGAGATAAACGTTTTTTTCTATCAACAGTTACTGAGAGTAGGTGTCAACATGCTCTTAAGTTATAAGAACATGATGACATCCTTATTAGCACCACAACACCAGCTAAAAAGGCATGGTTAATTGTTATGGAAGTGTTTTTATTTTTCCAAGAAGACTAACAATACTCAAGAATTTGGGGAAATATTTTTATTATAATGATAGCTATAAGCTGTCATTAAAGTCTGGAAACAAATTTATGTGTGCCTTTGAAGAGTGATGGGAAATTTTTTGATTTTGACAGTTTCAGTTCTTTTACTCAGATTAATGTTACATAATTATAAAATTCTAGATCTGACTTAACAGATTATAAACTAAGGCCATTTTATGACATGTCCTGTGAAATTGGATATCTTGTTATTTTACAGGATGAAGAAACACGCAAAGACTATGACTACATGCTGGATCACCCGGAAGAGTACTACAGCCATTACTACCACTACTACAGCAGGCGCTTAGCCCCTAAAGTGGATGTTCGAGTTGTGATTTTGGTCAGCGTGTGTGCTATTTCAGTATTTCAGGTATGTATTGATGGAAACGTGTGTCTACATGGATGTGCATGGGTGCACATTGCCTAGTGCTAGTCATTAAAACTGAACTAGAAATTCCTTTTCGTAAAATTTTTACTTCCAGTTGGGATTAATTTTTTTAACATTAGAAAAATATCCATTGGGCCGGCCCCGTGGCTTAGCGGTTAAGTGCGTGCGCTCCGCTGCCGGCGGCCCGGGTTCAGATCCCGGGTGCGCACCGAGGCACCACTCCTCCAGCCATGCTGAGGCCGCGTCCCACACACAGCAACTAGAAGGATGTGCAGCTATGACAGACAACTATGTACTGGGGCTTTGGGGGAAAAATAAATAAATAAAATCTTTAAAAAAAAAAAAGAAAAATATCCATTTATTCAACCAATTGATAATATTGGAATCTTTGTTGGTGGGAAATCCAAGGAATTGATGACAAATGTCATTATATAACTACAAAAAAAATCCAACAACAGATCTTTTTCTCATTGCCTCCTTTAGAGTATTTTCCACATAACAGCCAGAGTGATTGTCAACCTGATCTTATCATTTACTTTTGTACGACTTTTCAATGATTTCCCATTAAATTTGGGAAAAATCTGAACTTCTTAATACAACCTAACAAGTCTTGGCCCCTATCCACCAAATGCCAGTAGTGCTTGCCATCATTGTAACAACCAAAAATGTCCCACACATTTCCACAGGCCTGCAAAGGGTGCTTTTGCTGGGCTTGAAAACTACTAAAATAGATTAAGAGAGCTACAGTAACTTTTTTTATTGTTTTAAAATATCACAAAAATTTAACTTGGGTCTGAAATGAGTTTCTTCTATTATTATTCTTAACCTAACCATATCTATCATGTACTCCTTTAGAGAAAAAGAACATGTCAAGTGACTAGAATGAAGCAATTTGCTAGTTTGAAAGTTGCTTCTCCAGTTTAATTCCCAGAAATGAGATTAAATTTATATGATAAGGGGCTGGCCCGGTGGCGCAAGCAGCTAAGTGCACGTGCTCTGCTGCTGCGGCCCGGGGTTCGCCGGCTCGGATCCCGGGCGCGCACTGACGCACTGCTGTCGAGCCATGCTGTGGCGGCGTCCCATATAAAGTAGAGAAAGATGGGCATGGATCTTAGCTCAGGGCCAATCTTCCTCACAAAAAAGAGGAGGATTGGCATCAGATGTTAGCTCAGGGCTGATCTTCCTCACACACACACAAAAATTTATATGATAAAAAATTCTTATTGAAAACTAAGGTTGTATATTTTAAATGTATCAGCTTTTGTAGAAGTATTGTTCTTTCAAAGGGGAGAGCAGAGATAATTTTACTTTTCTGTTTTATATAATGTAATATGCTAGTAACTTTTGTTTTTTTTTGCTATTCCTAATAGATTGCTACTAAAATATTTCAGGGTATTATTGGTGTAACTGCTATATTCATTCAGTAAAAGAGCAAATGAAATGTGTGGAAATGTGAAAAGTAGGACTTTTTCTGACAGTTAATAAAAGCCTTTGTGGTTGCTTATATTTATGAAACAAGTTAATGTTTTCCTGTCCAAATAAGGAAAGAGTTCAAACATATTTGAATCTTTCAGTTCCGAATATGATGAGCATCACTGTGGTATAGGTAGATGGTTTAGTAAAGAGACAGAAATACATATAGTTGCCTGAGTCTATATCCTGTGATTTTTTTTTTTTTAAACAAGTTCCTCACCAGCTACTTTTGCCATTTAACTCTTCCTCCAGTGAGTAGATTGCAGTCTTACCAAAAAAAGATAGATTTCTTAATAGTGATCTTAGGGAAGAGCAAATGGTAAAGATGTGGAATCACAGGTCTGGTGTGATTCCATTGATCTGTCCTCTGATCTTGGGTATCTCCTGCCTGAATTAATGGCTTTTCGGCTCAGCCCAGGGCTTACCTGACCTATCCAGCCTTGAGTTGCCATGTACACATGGGTGTTATTCAGTTGTATCTTGAACTTACAGAGTAAGTTGGTTGAGGTCCCTATTTTTATTCAGAATGGGTTTCTGGGGTGATGGTGTTCACCAAGGTGAATTTTGGTTGTAAAAATGACCCATTTTCTTTGTTAAATATTCTAGTTTTTCAGCTGGTGGAATAGCTACGACAAGGCAATCAGCTACCTAGCCACAGTGCCCAAGTACCGCATCCAAGCCATGGAAATTGCCAAGCAGCAGGGCTTGCTCAGAAAAGCCAAAGAGAGGGGCAGAAACAAAAAGTCCAAAGAGGAACTCCGTGATGAGGAGGAGAACATCATAAAGAACATTATAAAAAGTAAAATAGATATAAAGGGAGGCTATCAGAAACCCCAGATACGAGATCTTCTCCTGTTTCAGATTGTCTTAGCTCCTTTTCACCTGTGTTCGTATATAGTCTGGTATTGCTGGTGGATCTATAATTTTAACATCAAAGGCAAAGAATATGGGGAAGAAGAAAGACTATATATCATACGTAAATCTATGAAGATGTCACAGTCTCAGTTTGATAGTCTAGAAGATCATCAGAAAGAAACTTTTCTTAAACGGGAGCTCTGGATAAAGGAGAATTATGAGGTGAGTTATTACTCTCCTGTGATTTCAGTGTTGTCTTGCTTACCAAGTTAAAATTAGGTGTATGATAGGGGATCCAGAAGTGCACTCAAATTTCTGAAATCTAAGAGTTAAATAATGAATAAAGATCTTACTTTTATTGAAAGTAGGACTGTATTTGGTAGTGGGACAGTGGCTTTTTAACCTATAATTTGTCTTTTTAAAAGATGAACTTCAAATACTTTAATTGACTGATGCTGAAAATTTTAAGAATGGTCTAATTTGTTGTGTTAAACTGCAATAGGATGATATCTATATTTGCATGGGTTTCACAACAACTTTCTGTTAATTGCACTAACTAAAATTTAGTCTTCCCCAAATTTTCTTCCAGTCATAAAAACTTAGCCACAGAGATTAAAAAAAACAAAACAGAGAGGGAATAAGAGATGGAAATTTTGTTGAAATAACTTCATTTCAGAATAAACGAGCACAGAATCTTCTGCTCTATAACTAACATATGTATGAAAAGTTACTTTTATTTTGTTTTTAAATTAAATTGACTTACTGTAACGCCTCTAAACTTTAGGCATTTTAATAAATGCTATATTCTACAATTGTCAGGTAGAACAGTTACTTTGAGGTGATCAGCTGCCTAGCTCAAGTCCTATTAAAGAAACTAGTAATCTCATCCTAATGATATTTATTTTAGGTTTCGAGTAAAATTAATTGGCTAATATATTAAATATAAGAATAAAGCGGGCCGGCTCCGTGGCTTAGCGGTTAGGTGCGCGCGCTCTGATGCTGGCGGCCCGGGTTCGGATCCCGGGCACGCCCCAAGGCACCACTTCTCCGTCCAACCCGAGGCCGAGTCCCACGTACAGCAACTAGAAGGATGTGAACCTACGACATACAACTATCTACTGGGGCTTTGGGGGGAAAAAATGAATAAATAAAATCTTAAAAAAAAAAAAAAAAAAAAAAAGAATAAAGCACAGTGAAACCTTCAGAAATCTGAGATATATTTGTTTTTTAGTTTCATAGACATTCCCTTTTATATTTGGTGCCCTAAGTAGATTTTACTGAAAGTTTCAGTCTGAATTATATTTAAGTAACTTACTATGAATTGCCAAAATGTTCTGGCAAGTAGATACATTCAGCCTGCTTATAAATAACAAAAATGGAAAGTAACATACTATTTTGCTCCTAAATTATTTGAAAAGTTTTCTCTTTTAAGTAGGTTAAGCAGCCCAGTCCACAAAACTGTGTCTTTCATAGAGTACCATCCTGGGCTGAATTATCATATGTTGTTATACCAGGTTATCTTAGTCATTACTTACTAAAATTTGGAAGTAAAATCATTTCTTTCTAAAATTTGATGTGGCTGTAAAACTGGTCATGAAACCTTGTCCATTTAGCTTTAACTGACATCCATTAAAAGTTACAGAAATGCAGATGATCTTTGTTCGTGATCTGTGTGGTTTATTTAACCTTCTTTGGGACCTTTAATAAAATATTTTGAAAAACCAATAATTATCTTTGAAAATAGAAGTAGATGTAAGTTCAGTTTGGAGACACGTCTACATAAGGTCATTTTGTTCCTTGGTTAGGATCAACAAATACTGGAAGTCATCAGTTAAATTTACAGAGTACGATCTTAAAAAAATAAAGTGTGATTCTTTAATGTTGAACATTAGTTGTAGAGAGGAAATGTGTAAACCCTTTAAACTCAGCTTATGTGTGATTTCAATGAGGAAAAGAATGTATTCTCAGGTTACAGAAATCGGTGACAAAAAATTAATAGTTCTTGTACAAGTTGTTCTTTTTTATTTAACACTGCAAGTTAAAGTGCTTAATTGCTTAGTATTTTCAGATGCATAGTCTTCAGAAGACAAACCAATACATTTACTGGAAACATTTACCTAAAGTTATATTTGAAAAATATAAATATGCCATAAAGCTAATGACAACTGTTTCCCTTTGGATTGTAAAGTTAATTACTGTTATTTATACTTATAGGTTTACAAACAAGAACAAGAAGAAGAACTAAAGAAAAAATTGGCAAATGATCCTAGATGGAAGAGATACAGGAGATGGATGAAGAATGAAGGGCCTGGGCGGTTAACATTTGTGGATGACTGAAGATTGCTGGAATGCTACTATGCCAAACCTTAATTGTGACATTTTCATAACTGAATTATTTTAGAAATGTATCAACTGCCCTCAGCAGTAACTAAAATTCCTCAAATATTTGATTAAACAGAATAATGTAGAAATTTAAACTTTCCCTTAAAACTTTATATATAAGACATTTATGATTGTTCAATTTTTATAATCAATTTGTGGATTTTGTTAAAAGATTTGACATGAAGATTTATTAGTTGCCATTTAAGAATTTTATGTTTAGTTAAAAGATTTGACATGAAAATTTATTAGATACCATTTAAAATTTTTATGTGTTAAGTGTTTATTCTTCAAAAGTGTTTCCTTATTCTTTGTTGTATTGCTACATTTTTCTGCTTTCATGGCCACTAATATTTTCACCAAACATAAAAAATTATAACAGCATTTAATTATATTATTGTGTCTTTCTAGACACAGACTTCTTCAGCAAAATTATTTCAACTATCATGTCATCTTCATGACACTCATTCGAAGATTGAAATATGTTCAAAATATCTCTCTAGGAGAGTCTTCTGCTAGAATATCTTTATACTGTTTCCCCCCAGTCATAATGTTCTTATAAGATCTGAAACTCTCCAGGAGAGTGAATCTACCTTCATGTCCTTGTGGGATGATCTTGATTACAGTCATTATAGGACTATAACTGTATTCTCAAATGTTTTTCCAGAAGAGACCTTGTAAAAAGGTCTTTTGTACCACAGTATTGCTTCCCCCCACTCTTCAATTAAAAAAACTAATGGAGCAGAAATAGTATAACGAAAAGTTGTTCATATACCTGTATTATGAAGTGCTTGAGTGGTGAAAAATCCATTGTACATGAGTGCATTTACATGCATTTAAACCAGAAAGAAGAGGTGCATGGCTGTGTGCTGTTCTATCAAACAATGAAATATAAATGTTTATACGTGTGGAAGTGAAAGTGATTCACATATAATTTGACTGAAGCAAGTATGATACTGCCCTAAAGTATTGATACACGTTCACGGTAGTGAATCAATATTCCTGTTAAGGGATTTATCTGATTGCTTCATATTAATAAAATGGTTGCAATATATCACAATTCTGTTGGTATGACATTTTAAGTCAAAGATTAACGTATTGCTTTTGTATTATATCATTTTAAAAGATTAGTGTAGATAGTAGATATTCCGAGTCTGTTTCTAGCTAAAGCAAACTAGTCCTTTCAGGAGCTCTGCCCAAATATGTGACATAGACAAAGAGGCAGGAGGAAAGAGTTCCGTCCTTGCCAAGACAGACAAAGACTTGAGGCGAGTTCTTTAATCTGGGAGTGAAGGCCTCAGTTACTTCATTAGAGAACTGGGGGAGGAGTTTGACCAGATTATTACTAGGGCCCTTTTGCAGCTCTAAAATTCAGAAATGACATTATATTTTTGTAAACTTTAGATGAAAGTGTTTTATGCACCCATTCCTTTTTAGGAGGGTGGAGAAATTACAGAGCTCAACTATATAGGAAGCTACATTTCACACCTCAAGTGCCCAACTCTTAACCATAGATAAATGCCTTTCAAAGGTGCTATGTGTTCTCAGAATTCATTATCATATATTTAACACACAATAGTATTTGTCATCTAAGAACAGAAGTATGTGCCATATGTTATAAGGACCAAAAAGAAACGTAGGCACTTGCCCCTCTGTTAAAATTTCAAAGAAATTGCTGGTGTCCTAGTATTTTTTACCTAGCGATAAGGAAAAATAAGAGGACTGGGTATGTTAGCATTCATAAAGGTTGGCTGATAAAAACAAGGTATCTTTGGATATTATTTTGCATATCTGCTAGATTGCTGTATTTCTGACTTTCTAGAAATCTCATTTCTGGAACTGTGCCCAGCAGCCTGCTCACTTGGTAAAAGTTTAGTCGATCTTTTGGAATCGTGGTCATCGCATGGGTCAAGATGAATGGACTCTCCTTAACAGAAGGACTATGATTCTTCTCTCCCCTTCCCTCAACAAGATAACTGCTTCAAAATCCTAGAGTGAAAGGAAGGGGCTGTTAGTTGTCACAAGTGTCACTCAAGTACTCTGGGTATCTTGACTATCTCCATACTCTGCCCATCCCCCACCAAAGCAAAACCTTCTCCAGCTTAGGAACATCTGGAGAAGAATCCTGGGTGGAGGATCTCACAACCCCACTAGTTAGAAAATTTTTCTTATGCTTCATTTTAGGGCTAGCACCGTTTCCTTTTCGCTTGGCATTCAGGGGTTTATAGTGCAGTGCTGTTCACTGCTGTCTATTATCGCTTCATATAATTGAGGTCCGTGCTAAAATTACTAAGTTTTAGGATTACATTCATGTCAAATATCTTCATAACAGATTCCAGTACTAACCCTTTCCTCATTGGTTTTATTTCTTTATAAATTCTTCAAGTTCTACAAATTGCTGTTTCATAACACATCTATTAGGTAGGTACCATGCCTAGAATCTTAAACACTACAATTGGTATATAGGATTTTAAAATGTTACATAAAAAATAGTGGAGTTTAGAGAATTAACAAGTATTTTAGTACTATTGAATTTATGTTTAGAAAATCATAGTTCATTTCTTTTGAGATTTTTTTTGGACTGAAAGGGCAGTAAACTTTTATCACCCAAACCTTGGAGATATTTTGCTTGAGTGGAAGCCATTGCTAAGCTAACATTCAGCTGGTGTTATGAACCAGTGTGCTGGCCCCAAACTGAAAGGTCTGTGGAAGTTAAAGAGAAATGGCTTTTATTAGACATTAGTATAAACAGATCTAGCTACTTTAAGACATTAAATCAGACAAGGGCTCTGTTATAATTGTGCATTTGAGGCAGATAAATGTTGGTATTGATACAAACTACATGTGTATGGATGAAGTATAATTAATTTTATTTGCAAAATGTGATACTCTTCACATTTAAATATTGGCTAAGGCGAAATCTAGAAGCTAATAACTAAATAAAATTTGCTAATAAAATTATTTAACATTTCTGGTTGCCTCAACTGTGAAATGAGGGGATCTTTTTAGATAATTAGGATTTAAAATTTTATAAGCCTGCACATACACATAGGTTTAGGGTCTGAAGCAGATTAGATTGCCTGCAATTGAGAAATGTTATGGGTATTTAATTTAAAAGCCTACATAATTAGTTGTAAACTTTAATCAGCTTCTTAGTACTTAAAGGATTCAGAGTATCCTTGACAATTGTGCTTGGAATGGATCACAAGGTCTTAGGACAGTGACCTATGGGGTTTCTTACAGTCTCCTCCTCCCTAGCTTCATTAGGGGATGGAGAAACTTCCTCCCATTCAACCCTTCTCTCCTTTTATAACCCCAAGAAGAATGAGCAGGACGCAGTGGAATGGCTCAGGCTTTATAGCCAGATAGACCAAGGCTTGGTTTCTGGCTCTGCAACTGACTAGTAGCTTGACTTTGGGCAGATTAACCTCTGAGCCTTGTTTTCTCTCTTTTTTTTTTTTTTTTGCTGAGGAAGATTCACCCTGAGGTAACATTAGTGCCAATCCTCCTCTACTTTGTATGTGGGTTGCCACCACACAGCATGGCTGACAAGTGGTGTAGGTCCACACCCAGGATCTGAACCCACAAACCTGGGCCGCCGAAGCGGAGCCCACCAAATTTAACCACTACACCAAGGGGCTGGCCCCTCATTTTTAATAGTAGAGATACTAACTACTTCACAGGATTAGTATGAGAATTAAACAAGATAGGAGTCAAGTGCTGGCATATATGAAGTGCTCAATAAATGAGTTTCCTTGCCTTCATAGGAAATAGGAGTCATTCTCATTCATTAAAATCCATGGTAATAGGAGAGAGTTTACTGATGACTCCAAACCCATTGTTTCTTTTTTCTTTTAATAGGCACTTGAATTCCTTACCTTGTGCAAGACTGAAAAAAGTGATGCTCCTTAGGGTTGGAATTGTGTTTTAAAAGCAGCTGCCTGCCCCTGCTTGTCTTTGGGGTATAAGGTGAAGCAACGGAGATGACAACTCAGGAAAGAATGAACTTTCAGAGACAATAGAATAATCAGCTAATTGCTAGTTGAAGGCCTGCGTTTTACTGAGAGACACTTTCAATGAGTTCACGAGGAGTCTTGGAAATGGCTGCTCAAAAGGACAGCAGGGAGCCTCAAGTTCCATTACCTCCCACAGTCTCAAAAATGCCTGTGAAAATCTCTCCAGAGAAGCTGAATCTACAAACCTGCTGGTGAATCTTTAGCTCCTGATTCATTTTCTAAGTTCTAAAAATAATGCAATGGGTATAAGGAAGTGAAGTAATGTTTTTATGGTATATTATACTGTGTCACATTAAATATAGTTGTTAATGTGTTTTCCTGTTTCTTTTTAATCATTTTAGAAAACCAAAGGTATATATTACTGTCATTTTGATATAACATTGGCAGAAAGAAACACTTTCTCGTTATATCATTATTTTTATGGAGAAGAGTAATTTAAGCCCCTTTTCTGGAAAAATAACCCACTGTTAGTAAAAAGATGACAAAATACATGTCAGAGGAGTGAAGAATTATAGATGGTAATAGGGAAACAAATGAAACGTTTGTCTTCACAAGGACACTGACGTTTCTAACAAGTACCGAGATTCTTAGAAACAGTGGAAATTTATCAGTTTTTATTTTAACCAAGAAAAAAATGTGTAACAAATTCTTTAAAATAATATACTGGTGATCTGAGCATTTTAGCTGGGGTGAGGAGGAAAGGATGGTCTGTCCCCATGCCTCACGTCTTTTCAGAGCTCTGGAAATAACTGCATCTCTGGGAATAGACTCTAGTCCTTCAGGTGGGCAGTAGCCTCTCTCGAAAGCTAAAATGAAAGTTCTTTTCCCACTTTGTGTGATAGTAGGCAAGTCACTTTCCTTAATGGGTCTTAGTTTCCTCATCTCTAAAACCAGGAGTGGACTACATTATCTGAGGGTCTCTTTCCCCTCTGAAGTTCCATGATGCAAAAATAATGGACGAGAAGACATTCTGGTAAAGTATAAAGCAAAACACAGATGGTCAGCCCTCCTCAGTGACAAGTGGTCGCCAGCCTGCTTGTCCATGGATCGCTGTAGGAGGCCTTATGCTAAAGCCTGGCTGTTTCTTTCAAAGCCAGACCACTCCTCCCCAAGACTAGCACAATGAGCCATACAGAGGTGGGCATGAAGGAGGGACACGGGTACCCCTCTCGACCTTTTCTGCTACTTCCTGGCTGACACACAAGTACTACATTATGTGTCCCCTCACTGTGGGCCACCCCAAAGCCGCCTTTCCTAATTAGAGACAATCTCATTTCTCCAGCTGTCATTGCACTGGGCAGATGTCTCCCACATCAACATCTTGCCACTAAACATTTCAACAGCCTGGAGGCACGTAGCAGTACAGTGGAAAAGTTAGTCCTAAACCAAACTCCTCCCTGTTCTTTATTCCTCCCTTCAAACCTAGTCCTGTTTCTTGATTTCTGCTACAGGCGTCAGTTCTAGCCCACTCTGCTTCAGAAGCCTTTGCCCCCTTTCCTCTGCATTTGATAACCACCATAAAGGACTACTGATTTAGTCTTTTGTAATTTATTTATTTATTTATTTATTTTTTCCCCCAAAGCCCCAGCAGATAGTTGTATGTCATAGTTGCACATCTTTCCAGCTGCTGCATGTGGGACGCGGCCTCAGCATGGCCGGAGAAGCGGTGCGTCGGTGCGCGCCCGGGATCCGAACCCGGGCCGCCAGCAGCAGAGCGCGAGCTCTCAACCGCTAAACCACCGGGCTGGCCCTGATTTAGTCTTTTGAACTTGTTCTCCATCCTACCTTCACAGTCCTCTCTGGGGCCTCATTCCAGCCATTCTCTCCACCAAAAAGACAAAACAAAAACTATTATTGAAGTCCTCTTGTCTCCCCAACTTCAGTTCATTTTGTATCCTCATCCCAGCTTAATAATCCTAAAATGTCTTACCATGTGGCTACTCCACTGTTTGCCACAAACCTTTCTGTTTCTCTTGAGGTTTTCTGTAACTTCTAGTCTTAACGGCTTTATCCTCTATTACTCACTAGAGCCTTCTCTGTTCGTTAATTCATTTATTCCATGTGTACAAGGCCTTCTGCTCTTCCCTTTGTTGGAATGCTCTCCCCCTTCCTCTGTGCCATCTGCAGGACCCATATCTTCAAGGTCTGGGTCTCACTATCCACGAGAGTTTCCTAATCCTTCCAGTCTATAACTTTGCTCTGAGTTCTTTGCCACATCTTTTTGACACACAACCATTCTATTCTCTCTTACCAATCTAGGAATGTTTCCAACATGTACTTTCACCTTTTGACTAGAATATATGCTAAGTTCTGTGCGGTGAGGGAACTTGCCACTAGAAAGGGCTTTAAAATTCGCAAATCTGCTCCTGTTACGAGATGAGAAATCTCTTTAACACCCCAAAGACTGAACATAATGCTCACAAAATGAATAGAAGAAATATTCAGTCTCAACAGTTAAGACATTTAAAAGACTTGAGATACCATTTTTCATCTATTAGGTTGGTAAAGATAAAGAATTACAATATAGAATTGTGAGGCTGCAGAGAAATAGGCAGCCTTCTGCTGGGAATAGCAATTGCTACCACCTCCTGGAGGATAAAGTAGGGGAAAGTTTTAAAAACTGTTTATATGCTTTGACCTATCAATTCTACTTCTAGGAATCCTAAGGAAATAAAACAGACATGCACAACGCTGTATGTTTAAGGTTAAATAATAGGGCAGTAGTAAATAAATTATGATCCAGTTGAACAATGGAATACCATGCAGTCATTAAAAACAATAGATGTAGGACATACTTTTTTTGACTGTCTCTGGGCCTCTTCTGGTTTCAGCATCCTGGATTTCCTTTGGAGAACCATTCTTCCCCCCGGCCCCATTCCATGTGGTTTGGGTGAGTGTCTTAGTTTGAGTTTCGCAGAGAAACAGACTCTGAGATGGTGATTTCTATGCAAAAAGTTTATTGGGGAGTGTCAAAATCAGCACGTGTTGGGGAGCCCAGGAAGTGGAGATTGGGCAGAGGGAGGAGCTGAACTGTGAAGCCTGTTGCCATAAAGGCCTCGGATGGCCCCAGGGAGGGGCTCTGGAGCTGGGACCATCACTTAATGTTGTCCTAATTTGAGGCAAGGGGGTTGGGGTTGAGCTCTCACACATTCCACATCAATCAATGGTTGAGAGCCGACACTGGGAGGGGTGGTTCTCTGGCTAAGGGCAGTTCCCAGAAAGGAACTTAGCTGAGACGCATCAGCTGCTGCTACTCCCAGCAGCCAGGGAAATGAGTGCCCCAGTCCCAAATGCGGAAGTCGGGTGGTGCACCCAGCCCCCACTAGAGGTGGGGCTGACCCCACTCCCCATCCTGCTCTCAGCCAGACACAGCTAATCTGAGCATTCCAACTCCACATAACCTTGCCTTCAAATAGTGATTGGTTCAGGGGTGGGCACAGGACTCAATACGGTCAGTGAGATCCATTACACGGATTTTTGCTGGAACAATTAGAAAGAAAAGAGGCGCTCTCGCTCCTGGGTTTGTTAGGCTAGGTCAATGAAAACACGGAACCTTCCTTCACAGCACTGGAGAGACTCTATTCACCTCTGAAGAAAAAGAGACAAACACTCAGAAAAAGCGGAGCCAAGAGATGGAGAATGAGAGCCCAGAAGCTATTATTTGGGCAATGAAATCCACTACTTTCAAGTCCCTGGGCTTGTCAGTTACACAAGCCAATATATTACCCTTTTTCATTACTCAGTTTTAAGTGGGTTCTGACAAATAGAAGGGTGTACAAGAATAATAAGGAAGTATTCATGATACATTAAGTGGAAAAACTCAACATTATATACATATATATTACACACATTAATGATGCCAGTTTTGTAAAACAAACTAACGTACACAACAAAAAAAGAAAATGCAGCACAATAAAAACAATGGTTATAGTTAAATGGTGAGATGGGAGTGACGGGGCTGAATTGAATTTTCTTCTGTATGTTCGGCAAAGATGTCAGGGTCTGGGATTTTACTCTGCTTACCTTATTTACCCTCCCGAATCAACTGGTAGGATTCCCATGAGACAGAAGCAGGTTTATAAATTAGCCTGCTCCTGTCTCATGGGAATCCTACCAACTGCCTTCCTCTCTCTCTGGTTAATTCCTCCGCGTGGCACAGAAGCCCCCACGATCTGGCCCCTTATTTCTCCAGCTCATTTCCCACTTTGGCTCCAGCCACAAAGGATCATACTTCTGATTTATCAGGAACGCGTCTCTGCCCTCTCCATCCCCACACCAACTGCGCTCGTCCTAGAAGCCCCAGAAGCTTCCATGTGGAGAGGCGCGCTCGTGTGTGGGCCCCACGACGCGGCTCCGGTTACACGTGTAGATGCAGGTGTTATCTACGTTTAGAATCCAGACACAGGTGTCAGTCAACTCGCGGGCCCAAACTGTCGCTTACCTGCGGCGCCTGTGCCCGCGGGGCGCGGCCGCGGAAGAGGCCGGGCGGCGGGGCGGGCGCAGC